ATAGATAGATAGATAGATAGATAGATAGATAGATAGATAGATAGATAAAAGATAAACAAACAAACAAACAGAAATGAAGACTGTGGTGGAGCCTAGTGGTTAAGCTCCCATGCTTCAGTACTGCCAACTGTGTGATGGGCAGTCATGGGAATGACAGGTTTGTGAGCTCGGCCTGTGGCTTTCACGTAGATTCTGTCAGGACGGAAGACCCTCAAAGAAACAATTTACGGTTGGAATGCAGAGCCAGGCACTGTTCTCCACCTTTGGTTGCTGCTGTTTACATTCGTTTATTGAGCCCACGTTTTCATAGGCCTTTTCGCAGGAAAATTCACGTCTGCTTCGTGGTGAAGACAGACCCAGAGGCTATCCACACAGGCAGCAGCAGACTGGTCTGTTTTCTTCTTTTTGTGTGATTATGTCTACTGCCTCATCTTGAATTATGAGCAAAAACCTACAAAAATAAATGTTTTGTGGTTTATCTAAAAAATATATAATACAGAAAAATGTTTTGGTGAATAAAATCAATTTTGTATAGTTTATTTCAATCTAAATAAAGTGCTGATTTTGTTTAAAAAAACAACAGTCACGTTAATCTCAATTGTGAATCTGACTACATTTTTACTTATTGCTTGAATCTATTTTTCTCTTCTGAAAGTATTTTTATATGCTACCAAGGCACAGAGAATTATGTTGCTTAAAAAAAAAAGCAAGAAAACAAGAGTAGATCTTAGTGTACCCCAACACTGTAAAACATCGGGCCATTTGTGTGATGAGCTCTGTCTGTGACCTGCTAGAAAGAAGAGTCACAGCTCCACTCACAGCATGTGTTGTGATGTGAGGGAAGCTCTGTCTCACAAGGGAGCCCAGATATAATTTCTGTGTAGCCACTTCGTAAGAAAAGATCATAGATCATCTCATGAATGGCTTGGCTTAAACATCAGAAAGCCCACAGTTGTACACTTGGGAATAGTATGCCATGCTGGATCCTGCTATAAGGTCAAAGAAATAGACATCACTATGGGAATAATGCCAGTTTTTACTCCTTTTAAAACCATAGTTAGTTACTTGCAGTATTAATAAAATATGTAATTCCCAGAAAGTGACTGAAATCTTGTACATATGTTTTACCTTACAAAGTCATGTATTTGATAGTCATACTTCATTACTTTTTAAAGATTTATGTTTATTATTTTCAGCTGTGTGTGTTTGGGGGAGGGTCTTTGCACATGAATGCAGGTGCCTGCAGAGCCCAGAGGCATCAGGTCCCTGGAGCCAGCATTGCAGATGGCTGTGAGCCTTCAGATGCTGGGGTGCCAGGACCTGAATTTGTGTCCTCTGCAAAAGGAAAATGTACTCTTAACCCCTGAGTCATTCCTCCCTACCTCTGTTTATTACTTTTTAAAGAGAATATAAGTGATGATTATAGACAAGCATTTTGTAGAATATCAAACTTACCTATAATAGTGACATAAATGTTTTTATTTTCTGGTTGATTTGATTTTCTGAGATGCATAAAGATACCGAGTGCAATATCGTCACAAGAACCACCATGTAGATTTCTTTGTCTCACATCAGTGGATTTAATGGCTCCCAGTGTCATTTTTATGAGATCAGTCCTCAGTGAGTTTCTGTTTCGAATGAGTCATCATGTCTAATTATTGCATTTGTTATTTTTCAGAGCAGTTGAACATCACATACCAAGAGTGACATCTGGCTAACAATATCACAACAACCTGAAGTTAGGATCTTTTTCTGTGTTGGAAGCGTAAAAGAAAAAAAGAAACATTTTTTTAAAAAATGGAGGAGTGATCGTCAAAGGTAAAACTTCATTTCCTTTGTATAACCCACTTCTACAATTCCCTCTTACGAGGCACTACATGAAACAGTTCTTCTCTTTTTATAATGTGATATATTTCTACCTTAAAGTTCCAAAGCCATAGGAGGCTGAAGAATTTAAAGTCTGTTTTTTAACTCCATGGTTACCTGTACAGATTTTGATCAAGGTAGAGTTTGCATCTGTAGTGATTATTGTTATCAATCTAGAATGTCAGATCAGGCAAATGCAATTTTCAGGACTGTGAGATAAAATACCGGACCTGACATTAAGCATGGAATGAAAGAAATTGATGGCACAGAATCACTTTGCATTTTCTTTACGTGCTGTACAAATTTGCATTCATCAGCACAGACATGCCCACTTCGATGTAAATCTGGTAGGAGAGGCAGTGAAAATGCTGACGCCCATGCTACCATCTCCACTCTCTTTCTTTCATGGGCTCTGTTAGGAGGAAAAGACCATAAAATATATAAGTCAAATGTGTTACACGTAATGTCAGATCAGAAGGGGATTAATATTGCTGAATACATTAGTAAGCTACTGTCCTGTTTGGGTTATTTGTACAACAAAGACAAGGACTTGAAAATGGCACTTTGCTGGGAAGGTGATCCCACGAATCCAGATAAGAGCAGCCGGGCCTTCTTACTGGTACATGAGAAGGATAATAAGGTTGAGTGTAGACTGAACTGCATACCAACATTCTGCCGACATTATAAAGGCAAAGAGAACCTGATGGAAATGTCCATCTCTGCAGCTGTGGCTGCAATTGCACGTGGTCCAGAGGTCTTATTCAGCCAATCAATGACTATGTTACACCCCCTTTTGCTGGATTTTGAAGCAGGTCATTTTTCTCCTGGATGAAGCATCGAGAGGAAAGAGCTTCGTGTCAGGGAGCCAAACTGAACTGTTCCGAGATAAACTTTTACCAATAGATCTGTGATCAAAATGAGAGATGCATTTTGGCATTATGATATATATATATATATATATATATATATATATACTATTTATTATATAAATATATATACGCACAATAGATTTCAAAGTGTGTTGAGCATTTTAGAAATAGTTATGGCTAATGTAATAACATTTAATGGTACTTTGGAAGTTACTTACTGAGTATTATTCACATTGAGAGTGTGCACACATGTGTGTTTACTCTTTGTCTCTCTCCTCCATCTCTTTCTCTCTCTGTCTCTTTCTCTCTCATCTCCAGAGGATCATTTGAGGGAGTTGGTTCTCTCATTCCACCATATTTAGTATATGAACTTCCTGTTAAGCCCACTTACTATCTAGTTCATCTCACTGCTCCCGACTCCTTTCTTCTTTTTTCAGCATTAGAATGTTAAACAATAAAAAAAAGTTGGATAAAAACAGTGGTTTTGTTAAAATCTATAAAATCACACAGTAAGTTGTGACTAGAAAGGAATAGCTATTAATTATGTAATCTACAAGCAGACATTTTTTTAGCAAACATCTCAATTAGTGCATAGTGCTATACAACTTTCTAATGAGAGCAATGAAAATGGCGTGCAAGGAGCATTGGCAGGAGAAGGTGATGGATAGTGGGGCCAGGGAAGTTGTGGCAGATGACATGGCAAAAAAACCAAAAGGAGGCAGACCCTGAGTTGACAAGACTTCATTGACAGTGGGGAGGTGTTGCTCAGATCAAGTCTGTTCCTGAGGATGAGATGCAAAAAGAGTGAATTTCCCCGGGGACTTTGAGATGACAACCATCTCCTTACTGCACTTGCAGCCACCTCTGTACCATCACAGCTTCCTTTGACTTCCAATCTTGCAGTGGGAAAGCTCTGATTACACCTGGTTTTAGCTCAGGACAAATATTCTCCATTGTTATCCAAACTGCTAATTCTGAGGTTTTTAAAGCCTGCCAGTCAGTTTTCTGGCTTACTTTTACTCTTTGATTTCACTTACCAGTGGTGTAACACACTGTCTACAACTATCTGTGGTCTGTCAAGCTTTCGATTGTGTTTGTGGGTCTGCGGTTGTCTGGCATAGATCAGTGCAGGATGAGGTCAGGAATGTACACTTCCAATGAGCTTTGAGCAGGTGCCTACCTGTTTGTTCAGACACCTGACTTGGAGAGCTGCGCTATAAACAGAATGATCTGGGTGGAACGATGAGGCTCGTGTTACAGACTGAGTTAGAGAGAGACGAGGCTCATATTGTGGAAAGTTAGGTTAACTTCAGACAGGATCTGAGTCTCTTGGAATGAGATGAGATTTAATAGCTGGACATGGTGGCACAAGCCTTTATTCCCAGCACTGGGGCGGCAGTGGCAGGGAGGTTTCCTAGTTCAAAGCCATTCTGCTCACATACAGTGTTCTAGGCCAGCAGCCAGTGCTACAAAGTGAGACATTGACTCAAAAAAGAGAAAAAAAAGATAAAAATACATAAGATCCTTTTTCTAGATGATTTTTTTCTTTTTTATGTGTATGAGTGTGTGCCTGCATGTATGTATATGCACCATATGGTTTCACTGCTCATGAAGGCCAAAAGAGGGTATCAAATGCCCTGGCACTGAAGTTATACATAGTGGTGAGCTACCATATCGGTGCTGAAGACCAAACTCAGGTCCTCTGCAAGAGCAGTAGTTACTCTTAACCTCCGAGCCTTTGCTCCAACTGTGAAATAAGATCTTAATATCATGAAAGTTTGTATACTAAGTCCCCAGATATATCTCCTGTCCCCTACTGCAATATAAACTTTGGAGAATAGTAAATATTGATGGATGGATGGATGGATGGATGGATGGATGGATGGATGAATGGATGAATGGATGGGTAGATGGTTGGATCAGTGGGTGGGTGGATGGGTGGGTGGGTGGATGGGTAGATGGTTGGTTGGATGGATGGGTGGGTGGATGGATGGGTGGGTGGATGGATGGATGGGTGGGTGGATGGATGGATGGATGGGTGGGTGGGTGGATGGGTGGATGGATGGGTGGATGGATGGATGGATGGGTAGATGG